ATCAATGGCATAATAGGCTAAACAATATTGAGATTAATTCTCAAGCCTTAATTTCAATCACATGCCAAGAAAATTGTATACAACTAATTTGCAACTTAGCAAATCAAATTTGTTTTCTTAAATAAGTGTACAAATCTCAAATTATCGTAAAGCTTTATCAATTATTTATAGCATCTATATGAAATACAACCGTTTGTAGTCAGAATATTTCTTCTAAATTCTATTAGAGTTTAAATGGATAATATTTATTGAGCTTCTCTAAAAAATATTGTTGTTTTCGGGGTATCCCTACCTATTGAATTTGATTTAACGCCATGACTTTCCTTCACTCAATTCAACTAAGCAATTAGTGAATGAATTTATCAAATGTACAACATATAGGTAACAACACATATATAGTACTAATACATAAATTCGGCATTTATATTACCTGAAAAGTGACATTATAGATAACAACTTACTAGTTGTAGCTTATGCATCATTCACATAAAATACTTGAAAATGGTAAGTCAATAGCAAGCATCAAATAGATCATGGATACTCGAAAATACCTCTTCTAATAGTCATACTAATCACCGTTTGCTTTCAAATGATACGATCATAAATTATGAAGTATATTTTCTTAATAGCTGGTTTATTTTCCAAATTTCAAAGAAGTAATTAATCAACCTAGATAAATATATGAAGTAATTCTTTTTTTCTTCAAGATGATTTATTCTTCTAATCAGTATGACCAATTTTTTTTAATTCTTTTTTTTTATATGCAAGTGCAAAAACCCAAAAGGAAAAAAATATTCATCCAAGTTAAAGAAAATATTAAAAGTGGCAGGACAGATTGAAGATAGTTAACACACAAATATGCATAAGACAACTTATATAACATATTCTTGGTTACCATGACATGCATCATATCAACAATTAACTGCTACGATGATTTTCACATATAGAACTTCGAAAATTTCATTCCATTCATGTGATATAAAAGATGTAATATTAATATGTGTTTATGCAATACAGGTGTAGAACGAAGTTGTGTGCATATGAGATATTAAAGTAATGACAAGTATAAGATAATCATACCTTCTTACGTTTCATTACTTACCATATATAGTTTCTCTTTCAATCTAACCATGAGATGATATGTATGACTTCTAATTGCAATTTTTCTGGATGTAGAAAATTTTTTGTACATATATATTCAATTGGTTAGAGACTCGTGCTGATAACGTGTTATGAAATAATAGCAATTTAGTAAAACATGAACAAGAAATAAAAGCAATTTAGTAAAACATGAACAAGAAATAGAGATAGAGAGAAGGAAGAGATTTTCTTCTTCAATTGTGTGTATTTTCCTATCTATGACAATGCCTTTATATAGGCATAAAAAGTAAAGAAAATATGTCATGGAATATGTCATTGAACACACCAAGTATGTCATTGAATATGTCATTAAGCATTTGAGATGAAGATCATGGAAGCAGAGTAGACATCCACCATGATATGATATTTATCATAACAGTTTTACCTTATTTTTGCTATTTTGAATCCTAGTTAACTAGTATTAATTTTGATGTAGTTCTAATTATATTAATTTATCCGCATAAAAGATGTATAGTATATGGTTAGCAATATGCACGAAAGATTTAACTGGACAACAGTAGTAGGCGTCAGGAAATTATTGGAATTATAACTGATTCGAGTTACAACTTATTAGCCGATATTCCAGTATTAGATCCAAAATTAATTGAGCGAACTTTAGTAAATAAAACGGTTTAGATCACTTTATAATAATTGGTAATTATATCTAGAGTTGTCAAAACGGGCCAGCTCAGTCCAGCCTAGCCCAAGCCTCGTGAGTTTTCAAATTTGGTAGGCTAGGATGGGCTGGCCCGCCATATGAATGTGCCTTAAATTGGCCAGCCCAACCCAACCCTAAGAGGGCCGCGGACTAGGATGGGCCGGTCCTTCAACTTTTTTTAGAATTTTTTTTAAATCCTTAAAATAATTTCAAGACGTAGCCAATTAATCATATAAACAACTTTTGTTTACTTAGTGCGTACAAAAAAGCTTGATATTTGACGAGAAATCTCCTAATTGAAATGTAAATTCTCTATATCTCTAGCTCTTCTTTTTAAAGTTACATGAATATTTTCTTAATACTTTTCTTTCATTTTCGTCAAATTCTGAGATTGCTTCAATAAGTTTATATGCTGAGGTTTTCTAATTTAGGATTAACATCATTTGCCGATTTCATCATTATAGTCCATAAAATTTTTAAAATCCCTGAAATTTGCTAGTGGTCAAATTTTTTTGTATGTATTTAAAATTATTTTTTTTCTATACTGAAGAACAGTTTAAATATTAATAATATATTAAAGTAATCCAAACTGAACATTGGCCGCTCAAAGTAATATTTTTTTTTGAAAAATATTATTATTGACCACCTAAAACTTTTGAGTTCGTTATTAATTAAGCAAAAGAAAAATTAATTTTGCCATATTACAAGCATGTCAAAAATCTAAATTCTATTTGATATGGAAGGGTAAATGAGCAATCTAGGGTTAGGGAATGGATAGTTAATAGTTTTTTAGTTTTTACTTTTTTAAAAAATATTTAATATTTAATTAATCTAAATTTAATTAATTTTTGGCTCACGGGCCGGCCTAAGCCCAGCCTCGATCAAGCCTCACGGGATAGCGGACTGACTTGGGCTGAGCTTGTAAGCCTCAATTTTAAAGGGGCTCAAAAAATCCTAGTCTGACACTACCCAAGTAGCGGGCTGGGTTGGGATGTCTTCGCGGGCCAAGCCCATTTTAACTGCTCTAAGTATATCGCGTGTGTAATAAAAGTTTATAGAGGTTGATCCATCTGCATTTTTTTGAGATTTTTACATTCATATGCTATATAGTAAACTATATTACCCTCCATGCTTAACTTTTAATATAATTACCTTTTATATACCTAATTACCACTTATGTATATTTTAGGGGTTTTAATGGTATTAATTAGTCTCCTAATTTAACTATAACGTATATTCCCACTCCCCCAAGTTTTTCTCTCCAAATTCCACTCCTTCACTCACGTATCAAACTATACCCCACGATTTCCTCTTCAATCACCCATTATTACCTCTTCTAAAACTAGCGAAAATCTGTAACCCTTCCACCATTGACAACCATTAAAAAACTTTGAAGCTTTGAATTTGAATTTGGGTTTTCAAAAGATATTGTTTGTTTGGATTAGATGTTGTTGCAAATAATTGAGAATTCTCTCCGCGTCTCTCTCTATCTCTCAATCCCAAATTTCAGTAATGTAAAGCAAAGGAAAAGAGAGCAGCAATTCCACCATTGACAGCCATTAAAAAGCTTTGAAGCTTTGAATTCGAATTTGGGTTTTCAAAAATCATTATTTATTTGGATTGGGTGTTGTTGCAAACAATTGAGAATATGATTTGGAGTTTATATCTCAATTTTGAGGGTGTTTCGGTGAAGATTAGACTTGATTTTGGTTGAATTTCATATTGAAACTCGAAAAAGAAGAAGAAGAAGGAGAAGACGACATGATATACATTATATTTACGAAATTGTAGTAAAATTGTAAAAAAATTGTATGTTGTTGTTTATATAAATTTTTTTATTTAACTATTGTATGAAAGTTGAACAATAATGTATAAAAATTATATTTAACTTGTATGATATTGTAGTTGTATATAACTGAGTAGAAATAATGTATAAAAATTATATTTAACTTGTATGATATTGTAGTTGTATATAACTGAGTAGAAATAATGTATAAAAATTGTAGATAAGTTGAAGATAAGTTATATAATATATAATTAGTTATATGAAATTTGTTTTTACTATGTATAGTTCAGATACAAAATATACAAAAGACATATTGTATATTTTTTGTATAAAATTTGTATTTAAGTTGTATGTTATTATAGTTGTATTTAACTGGGTGAAAATAACGTGTGAAAGTTGTAGAAAATTATAGATAAGTTATATAATACATAATTAGTTGTATAAAATTTGTTTTTTATATGTATAAATGAGATACAAAATATACAAAAGACGTATTATATAAAATTTGTATAAAAATTGTATTTAAGTGGTACGATATTGGTGGATTTCAATCGAGTCATTTTTTGCTAGGACAATCGCCAAAATAGCTTAAACATTTAAAAATAGCTTAACCATTCAGAGATCATAATACCTCATATAACATTTATTTGGAGTGTAGAAGGTATTTCATGGGTTAAGAAGCAGTAAGAAATCGGCGGGAAGCAGGAGTGAGGTCTGCTATATTGCCAAATTAGATTTGTCATATCTTCAAAACAAGATGGATAGGAGAAATATACGTCAGTTTCTTCTCTTTCACTCGCTTGACATTTAGTTCCGGTGAATACGCAGTATTGTTTGCTCATTTTCCCATTGTAAACACAAGGTCCAATGTCAAAAAGAGGAAGTAGTTGATATATCTGGAGAGAATCTGGAGAGAAGAGGGGAGAGTGAAGAGATAAAAGGAAAATGGTGTAACTAAATCCCTTGATTGAAGGCACTGATAATAGATTAGGAGCCTTTTAAGGTGGATTGCATATATTTTATAACTAAAATGTGTTTAGGTCGGGTAAATACCAATACATCAACATTTTTCGTAATAAGGTTTCAAATAGTGTATATGAATTAAAAAAATCCCTTTTTTTAGCTTGTTAAAGCATTAGTCTACTACAACTTCGACCAACAATTTGTAGATGGATTTGAAAATTAGATTTGCATTCGGAGATGAATATATTTTGGAGTTGTTTCTAGATGTTTGTGAGGTGATTTGAAATGAAAATTTTAAAAAATTATTCTTTTGGAGATTTTTAAATTTCCGAAATTCAATTTTAAGTGAAATTTAAAATTTTCATGATTGAAACACTAATTCCTAAAAGAAGTAAAATTGTTTTTATGGCCAAACGGGTCATTAAACTGTATAATAGTAGCAATTAAATCAATCCTTCAACCCAGTGTGAGAACAGCAGCCTGGTTTGGGAATAAATTTAAACCGTCAATGAAAAATGCATTACTCTTTCTTTTCTACACAACTATTACTAACATCAACAAAATTTCTTAAAGCCACTATACACACTCTTTAAGTCATAACTCATACAACAAAAAAATAATTCCAACGTGACATAGGACTAAAATCAACAATAACTAGCTCTCTCTTTGTACTATCAATCGACTACTAGTAGCTATAAATTAGAGATGGTCTAAGGTTTTAATGAACCCAACCAGTAATCTAAGGAGTGTAAAATGCAGGGCCACACTTGCATTTCCAGCCTTCTGGCTCATAGTTAGTGTACTGAACTCCCACTCGACCTGTGTTGGTTGGCACTTGTATGGCTTCACACGGCATACATCCATAGCATTTGTGCTCACAACTCGGTGGACTTGATCCTATCATTTTCTTCTCTTCTTTATTCATATCAGTATATTCCTCTGTTTCTTTCACTTGTCCTTGTCCTTCATTGCTCATGTTTCCCTTTAAAATAAAGTGCAGGAAAAAACTTGTTTAGTACATTTCAATGCATTAATCAAGAATTTAAGAGAAAACGAGTCAAAGGAGGTTAAAAGTTACCTCATTTGTACTCAGTTTGTTCTGCAAAGAGTGGAGATTTGGTGCCAAAGGCCTGCTTCTAACAGAGATTAAACAAAGTGCAAATATAATTAAGACAAAACAGAAGAATTTACTCGTCATTTTCCAGCGGCACACCAAGTGTTTGTATAAATGAGGCAGTGAAAGTCTGAAAGAGAAAGAGACAGAGGGAGCAGACAAAAACAGAGGATTAGAATAATTGGTGTTTGATTATTTGGTCCATATCATGATAGCTTTATAACAAGAAGGAAGTAAAAGAGGAGAGACTCAAAATTCTCAAACTCCCATTTCCCAAAAAGCAATCCTACCAAAGCTCCTTGGATTTTTCTAAGGCTTCTCTCTGAAATTGTATTGGTAAAAACGAAATCTTTACTTCTCAAACAAGTGATTCTACTCTGCCAAAAAAGCCTACAACTATACAACTTTTTCTTTCATATTTTATTCTTAAATTAATAGTGTAACAGTTACTAGTCTTATTTTGACAACTCAATTCACCTTATGATTAATCTTTGTTTTTTTTTTCTCATTTCTTTGTTCCTTTAGTTACACGTTGCTTCAAATCTTGAATGAAACTAGAAGTAACCTTTTTAGGTTCTGAGTAAAACCTGAATATACAGCAGCCTGTTAAATTGACAGGTAATTAACTGGAAAAATTGTGGGTGCCTAGACTGCAGAGCCTCCTATTCCCTATTCCCGCTTTTGGTCATATTCTGAAACTGGACAAGAAAGAAAATCTTTCTTTAAATTCTTTTCAGTTTTTAATTCATGAAATAAAGTACACCGTATCAATGTCTGAGGGATATAGTAAACCCCCCCCCCCAAAAAAAATGTGTTAGTGAAAAAACAACGATAACAAATTCAATATAATCTCACAAATGGGGTCTGAGCACATACCTTATGTAGAACTGTTGTTTCCGTTAGACTGTCGACTCAAAAAAAGAATGAAAAAAGAAGTAGTAACAACATGAAGTAATAACAACAAAATAGCAAGAAAATCGAAGCGAAAGAGACAACGGGTAGTAATAAAAATTTAAAAATAAGAAAGTACAAGACTAACACTAATACTACTGACCAAAGGTGAAGCCACATTGTTCGAAGGGTGGTCAATTGCCTTTGTCGAAAAATTAAATTGTGTATATAAGTAAAATATTAGATTTTAGTGGTATATAACATATATTAAATACCCTATGTCGGAATTTTTTTTTACTTTTTCTTAAGTTTGAACACCTTTGGAGAAATTTCTGGCTCCGCCACTACTATTGACATGACATGGACGAGGAAAACTCACAACTACCCACTAAACTTCGGAGTATCATAATTCTCAACCTCTGCAACATTAACAAAAATAAAATGTATGAATAGTTAACTACTTTCATGAGCAGACGAAGCACTGTAACCAAAAAAGCTTCTATTGTTATTCAAAAAGAAGAGCTTGATTTTCTATTGGACCAAAGAAATGAACCCCTCCATTGACTTTTTAGCATTAAGCTTTAGTTTAAAAAACTATGTGAAGTAAGAGCAGCTTATAGCAGCATCAGCATTGAATAATGAATTCTCCTTTTCAAGTGAAAAGTGCAATAAATAAGGAAAGAAGAGCCAATAATTAAACAAGCTTTTTATTTGTTCTTTTAATATTTGAGGTAAAGAACTGTGAATTTAAACCTGGGAAGCAAGCACATATAAAAGGAAAGCTGATAAGTACCATTCAATGCACACTTTTTAATTTCTTTTGCTATAGTACTAGCTGATGAGTGGCAGTGAAATAGCATGTACAGACAAAATCAGATATATTCGTAGGTATTATTTTAGTACCACGGGGTCGTTTGGTTGGAACAAGTTATCCAAAAATTAATTATCTCGAAATTAATTATTTTATCTTTTCATAATAATAAAAAAATACTATAATCCTGAGATAATTAATTCCGCGATTAATTATACTGTATTTTTCCCTAACCAAACATTGGATAAATTCTCCTTAAATTTTGTGCCGAAATTAATTATTTTTTATCTCTCGTACCAAACGAGCCCTACGTATTAGTAATTTGGTCAGTGTGTTATTGCAGGAAATGGTTATTAGCGAAAATGAGGTATTTTTGTGGGGTGAAAAGTATGCAATGAGACAAAGTCACAAAGGTTAGTTAAACAACGTTGTGTATATTTCAGAGTACTGGTTTCATTTTGGCACCCTTTTCTTTTTTTAAAATATATTTTTATTGACGTCAATCAGCGAATGATTTGATGATACACTGTGGTCTCTGTCATTCACTTCTCTATTCAAGATTTTAGGTCTTCTCATACAGTTTGATATATTGCCTTAAAATAATGCATAAAGGAGAAAAGAGGCTATCACCAAAAGACATTTCCTCTTTTGGTTTATTTTTCTTTTTAAGATTAAAACGTTTGAATCTGATCAGATGTGTATTAAGGTCTGGATACTAAATGATTAAACCTGAGTTTTTTTTACTATTTCAATGTATAAAATTTATCTTTATTTAAAAATTAATAAATATAAAATTCAAATAAAATACTAATTAATCTAATATTCTNTGATTGGTGGTGGTTTTGGTTGATGGTGGTAGTTCTGGGTAGTAGCTAGTGGTGATTGGTAGCGATGACGATTATGGTTAAGGATAGTGGGTGGCGGATGACAATAGTTAATAATGGTAGGTGGTAGTGATGATTGTAGTTGTCATTGATGAATGTAATGGTGGGTGGCGGTAGTTTATAATGAAGGGCGGTGCAAGCTATGATTGTTGATGGTGATGGGGTGGTTGGTTGTGGTAGTTGAGGTGGGTAAGTATGTGATTGTGTTTGAGGATGATGGTGGTGGATGTTGATAGTGGTAGTGGTGACGGTGGCTATGGTTGAGGATGATAGCAGTGGTAGTGGTGGTGGCTATGGTTGAAGATGGTAGCAGTACTAGTAGTTGAGTATGGTGGTGGTAATAAGTGACAATGGTAGGTAGTGACAGCCGTTAATAATGAATGTGGATGCTAGCATGTTAGTAAAATTAAATCTGTGTTACAAATTTTAATCATATGTACCTATTCAGACCCATTAAGTGGTTGTGAAATAAAAAAATACACTTTATGATTAAGATCTAAATGATTAAGTTTCAGATTTTAAAATCAAATACACCTAATGTCTGAGATCTGAATGATTAAATCTATACCTCATTAAGTGCAAATAACGAGGCCTTAACTGCTAATATTTTGGTGCATCTAGTTCTATTCTTACACATGGGTCGTTTGGTAGGAGGTTTAAGAATAGTGTTGAATAAAATACGTAGACATATGATTTTTGACTCTCCCAAAGATTTTTTATATTTTAGCATGTAAATATATAGTTTAGGTCTAATATCTTTATTTCAACTTATTTTGACTCTTTTAATTTATTTCGTCACATAATGAAAATTACAAAAATATTTTAGTTTATGTTCTTTCATAAATTTAAATAAAAAAATATACAAAAATAGTACCTTATTTTTTATTTTTTATATAATCTTGAAAACACAAAAATAGTTTCATGTTTTAATATAATTTAGTTTAATTAATTAGGATTGGCTTTTGCATCGTGTAGTATTTTTATCTTATTTTAAAAGGAGTTAATTAAGGTGTTGGACAATAATTTTAGGAGTTTTAGAGTTCAACTTTTTACCCAATTCAGATTAGCCTATTAAGTCTAATACCTAACACCCATCAAGTTAACCCTAAGGATTCTTTTAGACTCTTCTGAGAAACAAAAAATAAATAAAAAGAATACATACAAAAAATACAACCTAAAAACCTAGGCCTAGAAACAAATCCGCCGGAATACACCCAAGAAGACCCCACCCCCTGAAACNCGACAACACCAAGACCCCACCCCCTGCCGGTTATCTTCTCTGTCCTCACACCACCAAACGCCCACCCCTGTAACCTAGCGCCGCTGCTCACCTCCGAACAACATATCCACGCACACACGGACAGAAACAGTGGAGGAGAATAAATATTTGGAGAGATCTTTGGTCAGGAATCGGAAAAGAAACGGGGAAACAAATGGAGTTCGACTGAGCTGAAAATTGAGTTTGCCATTCGAGTTTCGCTGCTGGTTCGGGTTCATTTGTTGCTGCTCATCTCAATTTTCCATTGTTGGATTCATTTGTAATTGATTCCAAGCAAAATTAATCAAAAGTTTCCCCTGTTCAGCCGAGGGTCGATTGCTTCAATTGTTGGTTCGAGTTCATTTCCATTTCCGGTTCCAATTCGTTTGTCGTTGTTTCATTCGCTTCCATTCAGATTTGTCGACATCAAATTTAATCGAAAGCTGTAATGTCAGGTTCAACTCCGATTCTTTCTCTTGTTTTATTTTTTGGTGTTATTAAAATATGATAAGAGCCATAATTAATTAAATTAGGAGCTGTTTGAAAGTAGGTTTGGAGGGACTCAGTTGTTAAATGGCTTAAATACAATTTTGGGTAGCACATGGATTTGTTTCAGTTATCATTCTTGTAATCACTTGGGACTTACCTCTTAATTTAAAAGTTGTTTCTTGAGTCAGGTTCTTGTTTTGATAAATTGAGCGTAAGTTACATGCCTTTGTTCTGGTAAGGTAACATGTGATATGAGCTTGGAATTAGGGGTTGGGATTCTGTTGTGTATAGACGTGAGGTTAGATTTGGATCATGTGAGCTAATGTGAAATATGCAGAAACGAGAAGTTTGAGAAATGGCTTTCTATTTTTAATCTTAATAGGCGCATCTTTGTTGGTTTAGTTTGGAAATAGTCCCATTCAGTTAGTTCTCTTTCGCATGAAAGTTGCAATGTGAGTTTTCATTTGCTACATGTTCTAAGGTTGGGGCGGAATATAAGGAATATTGACGGCTCTTTATCATACTTTAATCCACCATTTTTTATTTTTATTATTTAGCAATGACTCATTCTTAGTTAGAATGAGATTCCAACTCAGCACCTTTTGAGTGAGATTTTGAGAAGAGTTGCTCTTTGTTTGAATGCCATAGTTGTCTGATACAATTTGCTTGCATTGGCCTGTTGGAAATTGGGAATAGATTGAATCCACTAGTATTTAATTAAACTACATGCTTCAGGATTGGGTTCGGTCTAAATACATGGCAATGAAAAGTCAAAAAGAGAATGAGCATGAAATAAATTTTATTTACTTTAGTTTATTTTTATCTTTATCCTTATTCTCCTTACTTAATCGCTAGGAATATGCTTAGGCCGATCTTACTTGGCTAGGCAAGCCTTAGGATTTTTGTTAGTTTTGAGGCGAGAGGTCGTTCCCTTAATTAAATTTATTTGGAAAATGCCCCGAAGGATTTGTACATATTTTATTCCGGGAAATGGCCCGTAGTATCATGTATTTGGAAGCCATGACGAAGTTGTGGAACAATACAATACATATTAATATTTAGGATTTTACTTTATTTCTTTTATTTTTATTTTTTATTTTCTTTTATTAGGAGGGGACGACCTCGAGCATCTTTGTGTTTACTTTCCTTTTTTTTTTTTTTTTTTTTTTTTTTTTTTTTTTTTTTTGTGTTTTCTACCTTAATTGAATATTTTAAAAGCCAACTTGATCATGTACTCAACAGTACTAGTTACGGGACTTGGAGAGTGCCTAACACCTTCTCCCCGAGTCAAATGAACCCGTTTACCCGAATCTCTGGTGCGGACTTGGTTTTGGAGTCCTAAAATGATTTAAAGGAAAAATTATTTTTTTTAAAAAACGGTGACCTGGCACACCGAAACCAATGTCAGGTGGCGACTCTGAGTTATTTCCTTTTGAACACAATTTTTGTCACTTTCTAATTGAAAACCCTTTTAGAGCTTTATTTAATCTTTTTATTTATTTAAGAGGATTAGTGAAGTTTGTAAAAAAAGGGTGTGACAGAATATATTAACAATACTGAGATTATTATTGCTGGAATTGGTTATGCTGAGGTTATTTCTTATTCACTGTTTGGTTTGGGGTACTAAAGCATTGCATATTTTTTTCTAAAAAAATGAATTGTTTATAAAAATACCCTCCACATTCTTTAACATTGGACACTTTGAGGGATTTGATGGGCAATTATGTTTCTAACCATGCTTATACAAGTATTAAAAATTGCTTTGCTAATACCATGGTTTGCTATGTATTAGTTATACACAGGATAATACCAAATATAATATATAATGTATTAGTTATACATAAGGTGAAAAAAGATACCAAACAAGGGATTAGTAATGCACAAAAGCTAAAGCTTATATTATTTTTTCAAATACCTCGTACCAAAGACCCCTTACCGTAAAGGAATGTGCATTAAGCAACAAAACAATGATGGCAAGAGGACATGCTGCGTCTAGTATAAGTTTTTACGAGCTTAAATTATAAACATCAAAAAGGGCAGTCTGGTGCACTAAGCTTCTGCTATGCGCGGGGTCAGGGGTAGGGCCGGACCACAAGGGTCTATTGTACGCAGCCTTACCCTACATTTCTGCAAGAGGTTGTTTCCACGGCTAAAACCCGTGACCTCCTGGTCACATGGCAACAACTTTACCAATTATGCCAAGGCTCATTTTAAATCATATAACAATTACAACAACAACAACAATATACCCAGTAAAATTCCACAAGTGAGGTCTGAGGGTAGAATGTACGCAGACCTTACTCTTACCCCGGAAGGGTAGAGAGGCTGTTTCCGGGAGACCCTTGGCTCAACAGAAGAGACAATAAAATCATAAAAGAAACGAAAGAAGAGATCTGTAATAACAAAAGAAGCAAGAGAAGTAATAACATCATCTTAAGAGACACCAAATAAGTGAAAGGGAGTGCAATAATACAATCCTATGCAAAACAACAAAATAGTGTGAACACAACATAAACCGCTAACAGACATAAGCAAAACTCTATCATACTACCCGGTACAAAGAGGGAAAAACTATGAACTACCCCTAGCCTACAACCTTAATGCTCGACCTCCACACGTTCATATCAAGAGCCATGTCCTCGAAAATCTGAAATCACGCCATGTCTTGCCAATATAAAAAAATTTATACTGTCAAGTCACTTTTTTTATTTTTAAGATTACAAATCTCATATTTTAAGGGGACTTACTTGTAAATGCCTATTGTCTAAAAAACTTATTACCTGAATATGATGTGAATTTTTTAGTTTTTGAGGCAAAAAGCTGGAGTAGCTCAGTTGGTTAGAGCGTGTGGCTGTTAACCACAAGGTCGAAGGTTCAACCCCTTCCTCTAGCGAAAATTTTATTCATTTTCCTCTTTTTCGTCTCTTCCTCTTGCAGTAGTTATTGGGCTGGACTTATTGAAGATTCTAGGAAATAACCACAAGCAATGTGGGCCTCAGGTATATGTTGGCTTCAATTTCTTATGTTGAAATGGTCATGTAACTTGTACCAGTGGCTAGCAATGGATGACGTAGTTTTATTACACTTTTAAATGACGATGATAATAATAACAACTTACTGGGACTTTTTGTCGCTCTTTTTAAATTAAGTAACTTTTATATAAACTAGACCAACGATAAGTTACGGATGAACCCAAAATAGAGTCAAATGACAGAGTAGAAGTGGTAGTAGTAAAGTTAATGAAATTTAGGGGCGTTATCACTTTTAGCCTGCGCCAGAAACATTTACATTGGAAAACCGAAAAAGTGTATAAAACTTGTATAATCTTTGTATATAACGTACATAATTTATATATATACTACAACAACAACTACCCAGTAAAATCCCACATAGTGAGGAATATATATATATATATATAAATTTTATACCATGCGGCCATACAGTATTATTTTTTCAAATTTAAATGGCAGGGAACAAATGGTAAAAGTCAATGAAGGACTTACTAGTCAATTGGTGTAAGAAGAGCAAGGGCATCGCAGAAATTCACATTTGCGTATATTCTATTATATGCGAAGAGATCGTTTATGTCAAGTGGTGTTATTTTTTCCTAATTATCAGTTTCTTCATAATATTAATAAATATATTTAATAAAAAAATCAACGAAATGGTATTGCCTAATACAGCTTCGTTAAACCATAAAAGTACATCCGCCGCTGTACACCACTCTTATTCCACTCATAGAAACAAAATAGAAGTTTAGGGAATATGAGAAAAGTTGGAAAAGAAACATTCTTCCACTCATAGCAACCCATTGGAAGGATCAAAAATTATTCAAAGGTCACGTACAATAAGCTACAAAAATTGACCTTTAATTCTTACAATTACAAGTCTCTCTATCTAGCTCCTTTCTTGTCCAAGTAGTATATAGTATTGCATTGATAAGGCTTTTTAGTTGCACTATATGGTTCGATTAACAAGAATATGCATATTGAACTAAGACAAAGGAAAATGGAAGCACAAGAACCAAATGACAAGCCAATTTCAGAAGAAGCTCTACGTATCCTTGAGGAATTACGGTTATTTCTAATCTCTAATCGTATATTAGTTTTTCGTCATTTTGAGCCGAGGGTCTATCAGAAACATCTTCTCTACCCTTTCGGGGTAGGGGTAAGGTCTGCATACACACTACCCTCCCCAAATTCCACTAGTGGGATTTCACTGGGTCGTTGTTGTTGTTGATTCTCGTATATGTATAAAAAATTTCATCAACTAATTTGATGTTATATATACATTTTAGTATGTTATATAAAAAAATATACACATTTTATATATTTTTACAGTATTATGATGTAAATAGTTTCGACCGCACGCTAAAAGTGATATTTGCCCAAAATAATACAGGTGGAAGACATTAGATTTTGCTGCTCTTAGACAAAGCTGTATATCTTTTGTTGAAAATGGAAAGAGAGAGGCAACGGTTTCACGCTGGGCACGGGCAAAGACCATGGCTTCAAAGGTATTCACTTATTGCAATGGAAAGAAGACTTCTAAGTCATTGTTAATAGTCCAAAATAGGGGTGTCAAATAGACGTATTCCGTAATATTTGATCGGGTTAAAACAATAAACATGTTGAGTCGTAACTCTCCCAATGTTTGATTAACATAGACGCCAATTGAACGAAACAATACGTCATAATTCAGTTCGATCAAAGTAAAATCTTTTTTAATATGTTTGTTTGTTCTTTTATTTTTTCATTGTTTACCAAATCAAATTCAGACAAAAATAATTTAATTATCAAATAATCAAACCAATTGAAACTTTTTTCTATTTAACAAAAATATTGCAATGAGAAAAAAAATCATTTTTTTTTAATTGTTAATAATTAGTTTTATTATGGGTCAACTTGAACTATATATATGCAGTTCAAACTAGTTACTTTTATATGAACTAAACTTGTGTTATGTCCAAAATGACCCGCCAATGCATATATTCCCAACTCAATTTTGCTTAAATCTAGGCGTATTGAGCGAGTTATATTTCCGTGGGTTAAATTTGACACTCTATTTCATTTCCAAATAGAATGCTAAATTCTGCTTCCCACGTATTATAATAAGGGGTTGTTTGGCTACATGGATTAAGAGTATAATCTCGAAATAGAATATGAGATTATATTTATTTCATGTTTGGTTATGAATATTAATTAATATAGGTAAAAAAGTTATAGCAAAATAATGGTGTAAACTAATCGCATTGGATGGTATAACAATCCCAAGATTATAATCAAGAGATTATTAATATTTGTAACCCTCTTTTGAATCAAACCATGCTTTACTTCTCACTATGTAGGTTGGAAAAGGCTTGTTGAAGGATGAGAAAGCTCATACATTATATATTAAGAACTGGTTAGAAGCTGTAAGTGAAATTAATGAGTTCTTATTCTGAAATTCATCTCTTATAATAATTTTCTTGACAAAGTTTCTTTTATGCATATTCAGATTGATCCACGTCACCGATATGGTCTCAACCTACATCGTTATTATGATGTATGGTACAATAGCGAAAGCTCACAACCATTCTTCTACTGGTATAATATTGACACTATGGGTGTGTTTGGTATAACGTCCAAGAAAATGTTTTCTGTGAAAATAAGTAGTAATCTTATTTATTTTTCGGTGTTTGTTACGTAAATTAAGGAAAATGACTTCTCAAGAGTGTTCATAAATAATTTAGATATAATAAATATGAAGCCATAAACTTTCAAATCAACAACCTTCCGAAACCACAAATTTTATAAATTTTCGAACCGCTAAACTTTCAAAATCACGGAATTTCGAACCCGTAAACTTCCAAACGCATAAACCTCCGAACTCATAATTTTGGAACTTGTAAAATTTTGAATCTTTAAACCGATAAATAAAAAATTAAAGCTGAAAAATATATTTAAAAAATATTTTTTTCGGNAAAATTGAAATTAAAAAAAAAGCCTTTTTGAGAGAGGGGGTAAGGTGAGTTGGTGAAGGTGGGGAAGGTTGAGAAGGAGTTTTGGACTTCCAATTGGAGTAAAATGAGTTCATAAGAAAAATATTTTCTAAAACATTAAAGTCAACCAAACACGAGAAAATTAAAAAATATTTTTCGGAATACCAAAAACAAGTTTTCTTGATATTTCTACAAGCTCAATTATATTAAATGGCTGACTAGTTATATTTTTTTTCGTGCAACATTTAAAAAATACAGGCTAGATATTGGTGAAGGAAAAGAAGTTAACGCCGAGAAATGTTCAAGGAGTGATCTACAGTCCCAATGCATCACGTATCTTGGACCAGTAAGCCTTTTTTGTCAACTAGCTAATCTGATTATAATACTAAATCGGAGGGCGGAATCAGAATTTAAAGTTCATTCTGAAAGTGACATCAAACTCTTAGTTCATTTTAACTATTATATTCACAACTAACTATTTGTATATTATGAATTTTCTCGTAAAAATATAATCTTAAGCAAAAGTTACTGAATTTATGAGAATCCTTAGCTAATATTCTAGCTCCGCCGTTGCGCTAAACATTGATTTCATTGAGTACTTAATTAAATTACCACATGGAAAACACATACTGTATCTATTACGGATACATTGATCACAAAATTCTGATAAATTTATGATGGAATATATCAATGTGGACTAAATTTGTGACGAATAAAAGGATTCGTGAAAATTGCATCACAAATTGGTGAGAATGAGAGTCTATCAAAATTTTGTCACGAATTTGTGACCGAGCTATATATGTATCTGTCATAAATTTGAGATGAGCGAGGAGATTTTTAGTCCGTTTGGACATAAGAATTTTTTTTTTTGTGAAAATTTTTCACTTTTTTTCGAAATCATCATAACATTTTCAATTTTCACTTGAAGATGAATTTTGGAATTTTTCGAAAATTTGAAAAATTCCAAAAAGCCGTTTTCAACAATTTCTCTCAGATCACTCTCAAAACTTCAAAAACAACCCAAAATTATATTCATGTCCAATCACAACTCTAATTTTCAAAATATCATTTTCACTTGAATTTTTTCCCCACTTTTTTAGGAATTTTACAATTCTTATGTCCAAACGCCCACTTTGTCACAAATTTATTAACAAGATTTTTTCGTTTTATAAAAATAAAGTCTATGAATGACCGTGCGAATTTGTGATGGAAATGGGAATTTTGTCAGAAATTTTTACCAAGCATATAAATTTTAAATTATTGTTTATAACGTTCGATTTGTGCATTTAAATATGCAGAAAGAGAGGGAAGCATACGAAGTAGCTCTGGAAAATGGAAAGCTAATTTATAAGAAAAGTGGTGCTTCTGTCGACACTAATGTTGAGGGTACACAATGGATTTTTGTGCTCAGCACCTCAAGAACGTTATACGTTGGACAAAAGGAAAAAGGCAATTTTCACCACTCAAGTTTTCTAGCTGGAGGTGCTTCTCTTGCATCTGGAAGATTGCTTGTCTCTCACGGGGAACTCCAGGTACGCATATAACAACATGATTCTGATTCTGAGCGTCAAACTTGAAAGATGGAATTGAGCATAACATAGAAATAATTTTTTATATATAAAAATTATTATTTTCGTAAAAAAATAAATAGTGAAGTATATTTAAATTCAAATTCAAAAGAGTAGCTAATTATTAACAACACATAATGCATTATTTATTTATTTATTAAAATTAAATTCAAAAAAAATAATTATTACCTAACCTAACCTAACTAACTTTGTCCTAAATTACCAAGTGGTGTGTTGTGAGGCTTTTTCTTCTTCTTTTACTAATACTAGTAGTCGTACCGCGCGATGCGCGATTAATATTAAAAAAATATTAATTAAATTAAATTATGATCAGCTTGTTTGATCCTATTAGATCGTATTGCTTTAATAAAATTCAATTGTCATCTTGTTTGTCAATACGATATACCCAATAATGAAATCTCTATTAAATCAAACGTACTTATATAGTCAGTGAATAACTTTTTTGTTCTATTTTTCTTTATTATATTAAACAATATTTAGTATTCGCTTTCTTTTTGTAATATATGAGAAGATATATAATTTATTACTATTGATTATTTTTTTTTAAATTTTATTATGTTGTTCTTAATAATATTATCTAAATTTTAGTGAATAAATCTATGTTAAACTAACGGGACTTATACAGGCAGCGCATCGAATAACGTTTTTGTTATGTATTTTTCTTTATTATATCTTTCAATATTTAATACTATTACCTTGTTAATAGAAAGTTTCATTAGCATATTACGTTATTTAATATTTTTCTCTGAAGTTTTTTTTATTACTTTATTTTTGTTTTTTTATATTTAAATAATTTTAAAACTCCAACTTAAAACTACTCCCCAAATTGAATTGGAAATTTATTATTTTTTTAATTTTGTTTTTATATTAAAATTATATTAAAATTAAAATTAAAATTCCAACTTGAACTACTCCCCAATTTGAATGGGTAGTTTTTTTTCTCTTTTTTTTCGTTTTTTATAGCTTTTTTATTTTAAAATAATTTAAAAACTCCAACTTGAAACTACTCCCACCCAATTTGAACGGGTAGTTACTTTTTTTTATATTTATATTTTTATTTTCTAATTATAGTTAATTATAAGATATCTATTTTTATTTTAAAACTCCAACTTGAAACTACTTCCCGATTTGAATGAGTAGTTTTTCTTCTGTTTTTTCCGTTTTTATAGCTTTTTTTTTTTGCTTTTTGATTTTAAAATAATTTAAAAATTCCAACTTGAAACTACTCCCACCCAATTTGAATGGGTAGTTATTTTTTTATATATTTGTTTTTTCGTTTTTATATTATAGTTAATTATAAGATATCTATATTTATTAATTTAAATAAAGTAACCAATAACTAATTATTAATTAAAAATAACTACCCATTCAAATTGGGTAGTTTTTTTTTCTCTTTTTTCGTTTTTTATAGCTTTTTATTTTAAAATAATTTAAAAACTTCAACTTGAAACTACTCCCACCCAATTTGAACGGGTAGTTACTTTTTTATATATTTATATTTTCATTTTCCAATTATAGTTAATTATAAGATATCTATTTTCGTTTTTATATTTAAATTCAAAAATAATAACCAATAACTAATTATTAATTAAAAATAACTACCAATTTGAATGGGTAGTTATTTTCTTATATATTTATATTTTCGTTTTTTTTATTATAGTTAATTATAAAATATCTATTTTTATTTTAAAACTCCAACTTGAAATACTCCCCGATTTGAATGGGTAGTTTTTCTTCTGTTTTTTTTTCCGTTTTTTATAGCTTTATTTTTTTTTTGCTTTTTGCTTTTAAAATAATTTAAAAATTCCAACTTGAAACTACTCCCACCCAATTTGAATGGGCAGTTATTTTTTTTTATATATTTGTTTTTTCGTTTTTATATTATAGTTAATTATAAGATATCTATATTTATTAATTTAAATAAAGTAACCAATAACTAATTATTAATTAAAAATAACTACCAATTTGAATGGGTAGTTATTTTCTTATATATTTATATTTTCGTTTTTTTTATTATAGTTAATTATAAAATATCTATTTTTATTTTAAAACTCCAACTTGAAATACTCCCCGATTTGAATGGGTAGTTTTTCTTCTGTTTTTTTTTCCGTTTTTTATAGCTTTATTTTTTTTTTGCTTTTTGATTTTAAAATAATTTAAAAATTCCAACTTGAAACTACTCCCACCCAATTTGAATGGGTAGTTATTTTCTTATATATTTATATTTTCGTTTTTTTTATTATAGTTAATTATTAATATAGATATAGATAAGAAATCTATATTTATTAATTAAATTAAAGTAACCAATTAATATATATATATATATATATAACCAATTATATATATACATATATATAGTAGTTTTTTTAATTATTTTCATTTTTTAGATATATTTAAATTAAAAAGAATAA